CTGGCTCTAAGGCTACTGATATCAATAATAGTAAATCAGGTCTCTAAAGACTTTCTTCACATTTTTTACAGACCTCTTATAAAAAAAGAAAACGGGTTGTGCGTTGCTTTGTTTTGACATATATAAGCAAAAAGGCATGCGAGCTAAGAAGTTTTGTATGGGCTAACAATTTTTCAATGAGCCAGGGAAGATTATACAAGGGGAACTGTCAGAGGGGAATGGCAAMAGATTGTGAAACAGGAAATTATGTTGAAAGAATTCTGTGCTGAAATCCGGTTAAAAATTATTCGAACATTCCTCAAAATAAGCATTTTAAACCTCTTTTTTTTTTTCTGTTCCTCGCTTTCCTCCTTCCCCCCTCCCCAGCTTTCTTTTATTTAAAACTTCTGATATGCTTTGCTAACTGTAGCCAGTTTTGGTTAAAGCTCAGTATTTTAAAATGTGAACAAGCTTAATTTCATTGAGAGGAAATCTTCCTTCAACCTAGGCAGTCTTTGTATTATTTCAAGAATTCAACTTTTCTGTGCCACCAGACATGCTAGACTCCCACAGATGTAATTAAAAATACATATGCTTGGTAAGATAATGTGAAACACAGCTACTATATGGAAAAGGTATTACCACAGAGTACCTGGGAAGTAAGCCAGAAAGTTTTAAATAAGGAAAAAAATAGGTATGTTTGTGATCTTTTTCACAATATGCCAATAGTAAGCTTTCCTGAATCACAGAGCTCTGGATAGTAATTCAGAAAATAGGCCATAATTTTGGCTAGTAACTGCTTCATACTTGCCAGTGCCCCCTAGTCTTCATTTTGTTTAGGAGTACAAAGAAAGAAAAAAAGGAAAAAAAAAAAATGTATTTCTTATTTTGACATGATCAGACTATAGCCACTGATGTCTTTTTGCTACATTTAAGGTACGYATTTAGCACAAGGATTTGTCTGTGTAGACTCTAAGCAGTATGTGTAAAGAAGTTTTACTAAATGTAATTCTTTGAAATTTCAGTTGACACAGAAATTTCGCATATTCAGGTGATCTTTAAATTAAATCTTTCACAGGCTTACAAGGTTTAGGAATTTTTTTATTCAAATGCATCTATCACTTTTAAGGTCTTGTGTTAGCTATAATTTTTCAACTTTATTAAATGACATTTCTGCTCCATAAGATACCTGACAATTTTACAGCTGTCCAGTATTTGTAATTTGCCTAGGATTAATTGGTCTGCAAATGCATGTGTGCTTGTATAGGTTACACAATAAAATATTGGACTTGCTAAGGAACAGTGGACTTGCAAACCATGCAAACCCGTGGCCAGTTCAAGATCCCATCTTAGATGGATAGTCACAGCAAAAGAACCTTCTTATGAAAATACAAGGAAATAAACAAGGATAAGCTTTCTGATAAAAATCTCTTTCAACTGCTGCTTTGTTCTGGCTGAAGTCTTGGGTGTATAGATAAATATAAATACATATATATATGAGCACACACACCCACACATCATATATATATATACACATATATATACACATATATATAGCTTCAGACTAACTTATGTACATACAAGTGCTTCTGCTCTGTTCCTCTTGGTACTCAGTGTCCACACACACAGAACCTGCCACATGCATCATGGAGATGAGCATTCTGCAGGCTTAGAACTGGGGACGATGATGATTTTATTTTGTGTTTCTTGATCTTTTATGCAGCTATAAAAAAGCAAATAATTCCTTGTGTTCATGGATCCAGAGCTTTCAAATGAAAAAACAATCATAGAATCATAGAATGCCGAAGGTTGGAAGGGACCTCAGAGGTCATTGAGTCCAACCCCCCTGCACACGCAGGGTCACCTAGAGCACGTGGCACAGGGCTGCATCCAAGCGGGTTTTAAAGATCTCCAAAGAMGGAGACTCCACAACCTCTCTGRGCAGCCTGTTCCAGGGCTCTGTCACCCTCACAGTGAAGAAATGCTTCCTTAAGTTCCTGTGGAACTTCCGATGCTTCAGTTTGAAGCCATTTCCTCTAGTCCTATCCCTGTCCACCACTGAAAAGAGGCCGCCCCCTCCTCCTCACTGCCTCCCTTGAGGTATTTATACACACTGATCAGGTCCCCCCTCAGCCTCCTCTTCTCCAGGCTGAACAGGCCCAGCTCTCTCAGCCTTTGCTCACAGGGCAGATGTTCCAGGCCTCTGATCATCCTGGTAGCCCTGCGCTGGACTCTCTCCAGCAGCTCCACATCCCTCTTGTACTGGGGAGCCCAGAACTGGACGCAGTACTCCAGATGTGGCCTCACSAGGGCTGAGTAGAGGGGGATGATCACTTCCCTCGACCTGCTGGAGACGCTYTTCTTAATGCACCCCAGGATCCCGTTGGCCTTCTTGGCCACCAGGGCACACTGCTGCCTCATGGTCAACTTGTCGTCCACCRTGACACCCAGGTCCCTCTCTGCGGGACTGCTCTCCAGCAGGTCCAYCCCTAATCTGTMCTGGTGTCCAGGGTTATTCCTCCCCAAAATATTGTCTGCTAATGAAAGGCAAAAGCATCTGAAGAAAAACATATTTTAAATTTAGTCCTAGTATATTCAGTCATTCTCTAAGAGCAGGAAGCAATCCCATCTGGCAAAGCTGGTTTTACAGATTTCTCTCTCTCTTTTTTCTTTTTTTTTTTTGGTTGAAGTGCCACATTAAGTGAAAATAATTTCTTGGAAGAAAAATTAGCCTTCTAATTATTTAATTGAAAGATTGAAAGTAGGTAGTTTCAAAAATTAAATTATGTGAGCATTGTGTGACAATGGGCATTCTTAAAGAATAAATCAATAATAATTTTTTTAAGAGGATTATATAAGAAGGATAAATGAAAGACAGGCTTGGCAAAGGAAAAAAAAAAGAAGAAAAAAAAAAAAGAATGCCCCAAATTTCAAAGGACCACACATACGTTTTTTTTTAAAAAAAGAGCGAATGCTACAGCATACACTCATTTTTTGCCCCTTTTTTTTTAAGGCATAGGAAACTAAGGCAATATTCCTATTATACTGAAGAATCTGAGCTAATAATCCATCATTCGATGGGCAAGCATTATATTACATGTGTAAATTGGATGTTAGGTTTTTTTCTTTTTCCTTTTTTTTAATAGACACTTTGTAAGCTGAAATGTTGGAATTTCACACCAAAGGAAAAAAAATTGTTTACAATTCTATTTGTTCTTCAACCTGGGTCATTCACAAAGGTATATGCAATTTGTATGTATGTATGTCAAAATGATGCAAAGATTCAGGACTTAGCCAGATTGAAAAAAAAAAMAAAAAACGGGGGAGTGAGGGGGAAGGAGGAAGAGAACACAGACACAGGACTAATGGCAGAATAAACCACTGTATTTGTGTCCATACAGACAAAATCTTGAGTGCAGCAAATACTCAGGCCTTCAGATACTCCAAGCCTTTGGCTGAAGCTGAAGCCTACAGCTTCAGTCACAACCTATGGCTCCAGGCACAGAAACATTGTGATTGGAAAAGACCTTCAAGGTTGAGTCCAAACACAAGCCCTTCAAAATCCTGCCTGCTAAATCATGTCCTCAAGTACCTCCTCTATACCTTGCTTGAACATTACTGGGGATGGTGACTCCACCACTTCCCTGGACAGCCCGTCTCAAGACTTCACTGCTCTTTCTGTGTAGAATTTCTTCCTTATGTCTGACCTGAACCTCCCTTGGTGCAACTTGAGGCCATTCCCTGTTGTTCTATCCATAGTTATTCTGGGGAAGAGACCTACCTCCCATCTCACTACAGCCTCCTTTCAGGTAGTTGTAGAGAGCGATAAGGTCTCCCCCGAACCTGCTCTTCTCCACACTAAATAACCCAGCTCTCCCCTTCACCAGCTTCATTGCCCTTCASTGGACTCACTCCARCACCTCCATGTCCTTCTCGCAGTGAGGGGCCCAAAGCTGAGCTCAGTGTTGGAGGTGCGGCCTCCCCAGCCGAGTACAGAGGGACGATGCCTTCCCTGGCCCTGCTGGCTGCTCTGTTCCTGGTCCAAGCCAGGCCTGCTTGGCCTCCTGGCCACCCGGCTGCCTCACCTTCAGCTGCCTGTCCACCAACCCCAGACCGACCCCCAGAGGCTTTTCTGCCCCGCGGCTCTCCAGCCGCTCTGCCCCCAGCCCGTAGCGCTGCAGGGGGTTGTTGTGACCRAAGTGCAGGACCCGGCACWTGGCCTTGTTCAGCCTCATACGCTTGGACTTAGGCCATCCATTCAGCCTGTCCGGATCCCCCTGCGCAGGCATCCTACCCTCAAGCAGATCTACCCTTCCTCCTAGCTTGGTGTCATTTGCGGAGGGTATATTTGCAGTCACGGGCTATAGCTGTCGTCACAGGTGCAGTCACGACCTATAGGCGCAGTCATGACCTATAGGCGCAGTCACGGCCTATAGCTGCCCGCCCGGGTGCTGCATCCCGAGCCCAATGCCCCGGCGGGTTTCCGCCCTGTGTTGCTTAGTGCAATGTGTTCCTCAGTCACTAGATGTCTCCGTCTGCTGCGCGCAAACACAGGATATGGCTCCTGGTAAACAAAGAAGAAATAGCTAGAACTGAGGTTCCGCGGGGCACTGTTTATAGGAATATAAATGAGTTATCACTTGATTCCCAGCTGCCTGGAGCACTTCCAAGGAAACAATTATGTAGGAAAATGTTGGCCGTTCTTCCCTCCAGAGCTGCTTCATTCAAAGCGCCTCGCTCGGGGCTGACGAGGGTGTTCTCCTTTCTTTTTTTTTTTTTTTTTTTTTTCCCCGGGTTTCCAGCGAGGCCGGCCCCGGCAGGGGTGGGAGGTCCCACTTTAAGAGCAGTCCATTGTCAGCGCCGCATCAAAGCGCGCGCGCGACCCGGGCGCTGCGCGGAGCGGTGCCCGCCGGAGGTAAGTCCCGCTCCGCGCCCGCGCTGCGGGGCCGCGCGCGCCCCGCTCGCTGCCAGGCCGCACACTGGCACCCTCCGGCCCCTGCCTGCATTTTAGACCGTCCTAAAGCGGACTTAAAAAAAAATACAACGTCGCAGCAGCCGGGATCGGCGTTTACAGTCGCTCCTCGCTCGCACGCGCCCGCGCTCCGGCTCTTGTAAGTAGCTCGCGCTGCATTCCGGAGGGCCCGCGCGGCGATAACCGCTTTCTACTTTCCTTCCTTCGCCTTTTTTTTTTTTTTTTCCTCTCGTTTTCCCTTCCCCTCTCGCCGGCGCTGCCTTTTCGCCGAGCTGTGCGCCCGCCGCGGAGACACGGGGCGCGCTGGGTCCTGCCTCGTCCTACGTGTCCGCGCTCCCGGGCGCAGCAGGGCAGCCCGCACCTCCCTCCGCGCACCTGCGCGCCCACTCTGTTAGTTTGTGTATATGTTTATTTTTTATTTTTTTCTCCATGCATCTGCACATCTAGCGCCGTCCGGGGCGCCCGCCGGAGGCCGCGCAGCGCAGCCTCCGCGCAGCGCAGCCTCCGCGCAGCGCAGCCTCCGCGCAGCGCAGCCTCCGCGCAGCGCAGCCTCCGCGCAGCGCAGCCTCCGCGCAGCGCAGCCNCTCCATGCATCTGCACATCTAGCGCCGTCCGGGGCGCCCGCCGGAGGCCGCGCAGCGCAGCCTCCGCGCAGCGCAGCCTCCGCGCTCCTCCCCCGCGCTGCGCGGAGCTGCGCGGCGCTGCGCGGGGCGGAGCCGGGCCGGGCTGGGCCGGGCTTGGCTGGGCAGCCGCGCTCAGCGCAGGACCCAGGTGAGCGCGCACCGCGTGGGTCCCAAAGGAGCTTTTCAGTCTAACTGAAATGCTTGAGGGCAACATTGTTATAAAAGATGCAGCAATCAACCTACCTACCTTGTGCAGTCTGGATTACTTGAAGCATTCTTTAATTGTGGATAATTTGGTTTTAATACCAAGTAGTCATTATTTGTGCATTCTCTATTTCTTTGTGTTAGAGGTGGTGGTTTTTTTTTTTTTTTTTTTTTTTTTTTTTTTTTTTTTTTTTTTTTTTAGTGCTTTGTACTTTTTTTTTTTACTGAAGAGCCATAAAGGAGGATGGGTATTAAAAGTGTCATGGATGTTGTGGAGTGAGTCAAGTATGTTTATCTGATCTGTTGAACATGAGGTAGCCTCATGCCTCTCCGCTGGCACTGAGCGGATCCCAGCTGTGCTGCCTCCTGGTGCTGCTGCCCTCCTCCCTGCAGCTCATCCCTGACTTGCGAGAGCCCTTCCAGCTTGGCCTAGCCTCCTCATTCGCACCCACATGGTGACCCATGCAGGACGGATTTTGCCGTTCCCATGGGAGAGGGGTGGCAGAACATCCCTGTCTGGCTGCTTTCCAGTGACTGCTGAGGCTTGGATGCAAGAAGGCTGCAGGAGCCTCAGCCTCTGCCATGGATTGAGGCATCTTCCCCTCCTCTGCCAGCTCAGGGGCTCCTCAGCTCAGTAGCTTGATCCTGTGTCTCTGCAGGGAAGCTTGTTCCACAGCTCTGCTCCTCACCTCTTATGTGATTAAGTCAGTGATTTAAAAACTAGTGACATAAATGGTGAGAAAATTATCAACTTGTAAGTCTTGCTCTCTGCATGCACAAAGGATATGATAGAAGCATGTGGTGTTACACTTCAGACAGCTCTCTATCTGTGAAGTTCATGCTTTACATCAGTGAAGGCAATTCCATTAAAACACAATACATTAAAAGACAACGAAGATCCATGTATATGGCTCAGCTTTTTGTTTGCTGGATCCAGTCATGATTACATATGAGGCCCATTTTAAATTGTGRTCTGAGTTTTACTGGGAAGGATTTCACTACTGATGTAGTGGCGATGTTTTTGGCAAGACAGATGGAGATGACTTGTTTATAGATGTGGTTTTATTTAAATATTTTCTGGGAATAGTAATAGTAAGACAGGAAGCTGAGGGGGAATAGAAGTCTGTGTACCTTGGCGAAAGAGGTGAAGAAGTAAGTCATGTAATTGCTGATATGGAAAGAAGATACTAAGGAGGTTGAAGAAAACCCACTTTAAAACTTGTAACTAATTTTGTTCCTCTGTTGTGAAGCAGGTTAACAAAAGGAAAGGTAATACTTATCTATCATTTTGTCACACAGAATTTAACTACACCAAAAAGCAGCAAAGTTATGAAAAATGACTAGCTGTACCTGGCAGGATAGTGCAGAGCCTGAGTGCGGAGTTCTTGGAGTAAATTCCCTAGAAAGGAATTTACCACAGTAATCCAAAATATGAGTACAGCCAACAGCTCGGCAGAATACACAGTCAATGGTGGATCTGAAGCCTTTGTTTTGCTTTTGAAGATTGAAGTGTATCTCAAAGACTGTGTGTCTGTGTGATATCCCAACACTCTGTTCTTCTTAGACATAGGAAATGTGTTTGTTTCCTACGGTTATATCAGAGTTTTCTGTGCCTGGAGTCAAATCACTGTACATTATTTACCAGGCTGTCCACTCTTCAGTATTTCTGTGACTCCAGTGACTGTGTAAAGCTACGCAGAACAAGAAGGTTTAGAAACACAGTCAAGTTACCGTGAATAAGCTGAGCTGTAACAACTATTTTTAGCAGAAACAGGTCCTTATGGTTTGGGGGCTTTGAGCTCTCATGGATTTAGATGGCAGTTGCCCTCTCCTGCTGGAGCCCTGCAGCAAATGGGGAGATGTTCCCATGCCTGTGTGTCAACCCAGGGTGTTAATTTAATTCAGCAGTTAAAGGTGTGTTTTGTGTCAAAGTTGACAGAGATTTTGGTATTTACCAAAGATTACCAGAGATATTTGGTATTTGGAGGTGGTGAGTTTGGAAAAGGATGGGCAGAAGATAATGGTAACTGGGAGTTTATGGTGCAGTACAGGAATGTTCAGAGCAAGTATCTGTCCAGACAGTTACCCATGTCTGGCAGTGGTGAGCAATAGATGTCTGGTAGGGATTGTACAATCATGATACTGCTTCCAGTCACTGGCAACTTACGGTTTTCCTAAGCTGCCAACGATGTCTAAAATGCTGCAATCTTTGTCTGACTGCTTCACTGTGACTTGGTTGCTTTTGAATCTACTTAACCCCTTAAAACCTAAAAAATCCAGTGTTATGTCAGGTTGAAAAAAAAAAAACCCTTCTCTCTCTCTTGCTCTTTTTTCTTTTTTTTTCTGTTTCTCCTTGGAAAAGACATGAACAGACATTCACCTTTTCCATGCCCTTATGACTTTATGGATCTCTGTCATATATCCTTTCAGTCGTGGGGTTTTTTTGTTTTGTTTTTTTTTGTTGTTGTTTTTTTTTGTTGTTGTTGTTTTTTTTCTTTTTCTTTTTTTTCCCCCCCCAGGATAAAGAGTCCTCTGGGAGTTCTTGGTGCGGATATCCCTGCTGTTTACTCAGTGGGTGTGACTGGGAGCTTAATCTTTTAACGCAAACTCATGTAACTTAAGAGTTGCCTTGTGTTTGTATGAGTCCAAAGAATGAGGGTGTGAAATTACAACAGGGAGAAGGTAGTTTTTCAGCCTACATTGTTTCCTACTGCACAATTACTTTTTTTTTTGAAAAAAAAAAAAAATCTCCAAGTAAGAGAAATAAGGAGTGGCATATCTTCATGTGAAATCTGAATTGAATGAGTAAACTTGTAAGAGTAACATCTGAGAGCTTTAGTAGAAAAGAAAATCACAACAAGTACAAAGAACCTATGCGGGAGAGAAAAGCATTTGCTGATATGGAGTACAGCATATCATGCTAGCGATCAGTATTTTAAGTTTTGTGGCTTAGGACTTTCTTTTTTAATATGAAGACCCATTGAATGCTTGACATTGCCAGGAACGTTTTTGCCAGGAACATTTTTGCTTATGTCCATTGACTGAAGCTAAACGTAAGACTTAAATGTGCGTGTTTATTTCCTACTGTGTGTTATGTCCTGTACTATCATATATGATTATAAGTTTTAATAAGGTCTAGCTAATCATTATATTAAACAAGAATTAGATATGTAGCTTACCAGGCTCCTCTTGGCTGCATTGCAAACCAGAATTTAGACAACCTGATGTGATCAGTCACTCAAAATGGTCTCAGAAATGGAATTTGCTTCTTTGATATATATTACCATTGCATAGAAATTATTTCAGTTTGGATTTTTGTACTTTTAAAGACTTAGTGGTATTTTTTTGGTGGCATCTTCAGATTCTTTAAGATGAATTAAGTTACATTTATTTTAAAAGACCTCTTTATTTGCTTAAAAATTGACTTGTACTTAAATGTATTGCTAAGCTGAGCGAGACCCAAGCGTCTTGTAAACTTGAGTTCCATGGCATCCTAGTGAGTCTGAGGACTGTTTCTGCTGTGTTACAGCCTTGGCACTCAATGAACTGTGACTCATGCAGCAAGCTAATGACAGATGCATGATTAAAATGCAGTCTCCACTTTTGATCTCTTATGCAAAGCTTTCCTTTCTGAAAGGGCTCAAATGGGAAGGGTAGGAAAAATTATCCCATTCAGATCACCCGTTTTAGGATGCATGCCACATTTCCTAGTGCTCTGTTTCAGATTCCCTGTACTTGAAACATGGACAAATGCAGTTGTATGGAAAGATACAACTGGTTTCTGTGCAACTTCCTCCAGCAGAACGTTCTGCTCATCTGAGAGAAGCAGAATGAACATGAATGAAGACCAGAATACAGCTCCCCAAACTGATTTTTAAAGATCAACTATGATGAAAGGAAACAAAAGGAGAGGAAAAAAAATGAAGTCACTGGGAGTGTTAAGACATTCCTTTAGCTATCAGGACCATAGGTCAGTGCTGTGGCTTCTGGCTTTTGTTTTAACGGACAAGATCTAAAGATTTCGCTCTGTTAGAGCGGTCCTGTGCCTTGGCATGGGTTAAGAGCACTTGAATGCTTGCTGTGTTTGTAAAACTTAGTATCCAAGAACTAGAAAAGGCAGACGTGTCTCGGCAATCTCCACAGTAAAGACCCTTGGAAAAGAATTACAAAAATCCCTAAATCTCATACATGAAGTTTCTGAAGAGTTAGATGCTTCATCTGCAGCTTTCAAATATTTTCCGAGTGATTATATAAGTGAAACAAAATGACTGCTGCACATCTCATTCACAAAAACTGTTGAGGGGAAAAAAAG